AAGGCAGCCATATTCTTATCCACCTGAGAAGGGTCTTGCTCTTCTATCAACTTTAATGCGGCCCGAACTGCAACGTGTCCCTCCACAAATGTTTTATTAAAACGACCGGCTCGGCGTCGTGATGTGTGCTATTACTTTTATTGGCATTCGAGTTACCATGGCGATGTAATTTGCAAACAAAGGCGTGATTTTTCTAATTGTAAAACACTGACAGAACTCAAAGTTCATGCTCAATAACCCAGGTAAAAAAATCCAACAAGGTTCAGTCAGGTCCTCTGGACGGTTTCTTTGTGTTGAAACGTTTCATCCAAAAGACTTCTTCAGTCCGAGGAGCCACAATAAACTCAGTCTTAAAAGCACCTTCACATAGTGGGTCAACCAGTTTGATGGTGTTCAGATGATGAGCGGCTTCGGATGTTATTAGCCCATTGCGGGTGGATGATGGTTTCTGGAGTCCGCCCTCTCCTCCTCCAACTCGTCTGAGGCAGCCATGGCCAAAGTGGTTCAAAACATCAAAGTTCATGCTTAATCATCCTGTGACTTCTCGGACTGATGAAGTCTTTGGATGAAAGATGAAACATTTCAACACAATGAAACTCCAGAGGACCTGATAACTTGGTTGGACTGACAGAACGAGCTTCTAACTGCAGCTCTGAGGTCACATGACTTGGAGTGGAGAGCTCCGTGAACAAAACTCAGTACGTCATCGAACAAACTCTTCCTTCCACCACATCTTTTAAGATACAGTATCAAAGCGTATGTATTTTTGTCGTCTTCCCACCAGTATGTCTGGCTTGGCTGTGGGAGTTGTGGTTTGGTCGTGAGGTGTCTCAGAAGGCAGAGTGCGACCAGATCACTCGTATGTTCTCACATTATAATACTGACAACCTTTTGGTTCATATCACATTGTGAGGAGTGTTTTAATCGTCATACCTGTTTAAAAATAAAGGTTGAATGAATGAAATATCTGACATATAGTGATGTGAAAATGTGAAAATTCACACATTTCTAACTAATATGCCTCACAAATTCCCTGGTACAAGTGTATTCGCTGATCTTTTGAGTGATCATTGTGTGACAGCTGCTTTGAGAGATATTAAACTTCCACCTTCTAAGCCCAGATTAATTAAAAAAAAGGGATCTGAAACATTTCTGTGAACAGTCATTCCTCTGGGATCTGTCTCACTTTGACTGGCATCGTATTCTGTTAACTGATGACGTGAACTCTGCTTGGAACTATTTCCATAATAATTTCATTTATTTCCTGAACTTACATGCTCCTTTTCGTCAGTTCAGAATAAAGGGACGAGACAGCCCCTGGTTTACTCCAGAGCTAGCTGACCTCCTGCACAGGAGAGATCATCTTTGGGCTGCAGCGAGAAAATCTGACTCAGACACTGACTGGTTAAGTTTTCGACAGATGAGGAATAAATGCACAACTGCTGTCAAAGCAGC